TTTATTTGCAGCCCGCAAGTGGCGTTTTAGACTTCTTCACACATGTTTGTCAGATAATACTTAAATTAGTAATAAACTTTAAAACTTTTTTTAATGATGAAAGCAGATCAAACAAATATACAGTGCCCAGCAAAGTATTTCTTTAAATGTTTGCCCATGCACTAAGTCATCATGTTTTCATAGAGTTCCAACTCTCTCGGCTTGGCTTACCCAAACTTCCTTTCCAGTACATGATCACAAGAGACAGGGCAGTCTCCAGCAGTCATCTATATACTAGCTTGGAGAAAGAAGGAGAGGGAGCAGGGAAGTGCATTGCCTTGTTGTGGATGTGTGCTTGTGGGGACACACACAGCTTACTAGGGTGTCTCCTTAAGACCCTGCAAGGGAAAGGAACCTCCTAAAACAGGATATCAGGGCCAGTGCTCAGGTGGCAACTGATTCTGCAGGAAGCTAAAACTTTTAAACATCAACCAGAAGCATCCATTGTAAGAGATGTAAAGGGTTATTCACTATAGAACCAAATGATTCAGCCATAGCTTCGGCTGATCATTCAGCTCACTTTGGCCGCCGGAGCCCTTCGGTTCAGACGAACCGAAGGGCTGCTGTACAGGCTATTCACAATAGCCTGTACAGCAGCCGAAGGCAGCTGAGCGGCTCAACCGAGCCAACCCCATATTCTTCAGCTCGGCTGAGCCGTAGTGACACCCAAAGCATGGAGAAAGGTCAGCCAAAGGGGCAACCGTTCTTCACACAAATGACAGCTGGGCAGAGCGAGCCAGCAGTGATCTCACGGCTTGCTCCGCACAGTTGTAATGACAGATCAGTGTCCCCAAATTACATGGGGACACTGATCTGTCATTAAACAATTACAACTGGGCTGAGACGGCCTTGATGTCAAGGCTGCCTCTGCCCAGTTGTTATTTTTTGCCCGGGACCTGCTAGAAGACTCTGGCAGATGCCGGCCAATAATAAACAGTTGGGTGGAGCTAGCGGTGATTAGACTGGCATAACTTATGAATCAATCAGCAGAACAACACATTAGTAAATGGGAGAACACCGCATATCTAGAGAAGCTGAGATTAGTGTGTTTATGGGTATGGGGGTATGAAAAGTCTTGATTCATAAAACCAGTTTCCTAAGACCTATCATTCAGTCTAACTGCCTCTGCTTAAAAATCTGAATAGAGCCACTCTTTCTGTAAAAAAATAAAAAAAATTATGCTCTTTAATATTCTGAACATTCACACAATTATATACCAATAATTCGGAACTCGAACTTCAGTAGATACACATTTTTAATTACAACTAATGTAAGTAACTAAGTTTTGGTATCAGCCTCTTGTAAATCCATTCATAGCAGAATTTAGACAGGGAAAAATAGGTAAATCAGTACTCCAAGCCAATAAGACTCTGCTGCATGCTCACATGCTGACAGAAAGATTAAAGTGTGTGCTGCTGTGTCATCACTCCAATCCCAGACTGAATCCAGGGAGATTTTTCCAAGCAATAGGACTGATTTGAGCATCACTAATGTTAAAGGAGAACTATGGGGTTAGGGCTTTTCCCCATAGTTCTCCTTAGGGTAACGGGAGGACACAAACTAGCGTCCTCCCGTCACCCTAAGCTCAGTATACCGCGAGCTACAGCTCCCGGTACACTGAGACGCCCCAGCAGAAGCGGATCCCGACAATTATGTCAGAATCCGCCCAGCTGCGTGAGTGACAGCTGGCTCTGCCAGTCAGCGCTGGAGGATTGGTGCGGGGAGGGGGGAATTATTTTTTACACATTTTTTATTTATTTATTTATTTTCTTTTAATTTATTTTTTAATAATTTTGTATTTGTTTTTTTACTGTTGGGGATGAAATCTCTGGGGTCTAAACAGATCCCTGACATTTCCCTTTTGAACTAGAAAAAGAAATTGAGACCCCCCCGACCCTCCCGCCGGTGATTTTTTTACGGATCCCCGCTGCCACAGACCCTACAAGCAGTGGGGATCCATGGAGTCTCTCATCCCTCCCTGGGGTGGCTCCAGGGAGGGATGAGAGACTCCAGATGCTGGCGGCCGGCAGCAGCAGTGCCGGCAGGGGGGCGCCCGGTATTTTCGGTAATAGCGGTCATCAGCGGCTTGTGAGCCGCTGATGACAGCTATTATTTTGAAGGGGACAGTCTGGGGAACAGTTCTGCTATAAGCTTATGGTCGCTAAATCGACCATGAGCTTATAGCAGAACTGTAAATGCCACCGACGTAAGGCATACTGAGCTGGCCAGCCGGGAACACTTTTGTTCCGCCGTATGCCTTACGGTGGTGGCAGCGAAAGGGTTAACCATACTTTACAGAAAACATGGTAAAATGCTTCTAAATGGGTCAGTCAAAGTGAACATCCAGGATGTTGGTAGACCGCTTGTAATCAATGTTTGATCCTCTTAACATAAAAAAGAAGAAATCTTTTACCGTGAAATTGTCAAACGTTCTAGAGAATCAGGTACAATTGACACTGACACACAATGATCATTTTGAGAATAAGCAAGGCTTTCAGACATCTATAATAAGCCATACGTTTGCAGGTCAGACAATGAATTGCTTGAATATAAATGTGAAAGCATCCAACCATACAAGTAGATAACCTAACTGGAATTACAAACAAAACAGCATTTGTCCTCCATTTTCAGAGCGCGTTCAGTCATATACAAAACTCAATGTCCTGTAACAATTCCTTTGTCAATCATCTGTGATGCCTAGCTGGCACGGTGCCAGCACCTTGACCTAATTTCCAACATTCACCTGGTGCTTGTCCATCTGTTGTCAATGATCTGGCACATCAACTTCAAGAATACTTATGCAAGTAGGTCTTTTTTCAGAACAACCTGGAGAGAATGCTCTTCAAAACTGAATGCTTAACCCATCATATATTAGACAGTTTTAAGGCATTTGCAGAATAACAGTGTCTCTCAAATATACTACATTTTGTACCTCTTTATTGCACAATATATTTACCCTATACCTACTCATGTGCTTAAATTTATCTCAAGTACACCATACCCTGTATACATGTATTGACTGTACACCTATATTTATCCTTTCCTAGCAATCCTTTCCCTTCTGCTTTTGGTCTGTTAAAGGAGAACTATGAGGTGAGTGCTTTTCACTCACCTCATAGTTCTAGCCGACCTGTGACAATGAGACTGTCACAGGTCGGCTCAGTAGATCGGGAGGTGAGCGAACACATACCGGGTTCGCTCACCTCTCGATCCTGTCACAGCTCTCTGCCGTGACAGGGGGAGGGGCGGGATCCGCTCCACCTGCGGCGTCTCAGTATACCGCGAGCTGTAGCTGTACCCTACTGAGCTTAGGGTAACGGGAGGACGCTAGGTTTGTGTCCTCCCGTTACACTAAGGAGAACTATGGGGAAAAACACTGACCCCATAGTTCTCCTTTAACACATGCAACCTGCCGTAAAGAAAAAGGGAAACATTTTATTAACCCTTGCACGGTCGTTCGCATGCAGTGTGTGAGAGCAGTGCGGCCAGATGAAATATTGCATCTTCAGCCAATTGGCTTGCACGTAACAACTCAATAGACTTTGCATCCTGACGCACGGGTTTATACACGCGAGCCGATTGATTATATTTTTCATCTCGCCACGCTCAGCTATGCAAGCTTTCCCTGTGCTTGTGTCCATTTCCTCTAGTTACAGTCCTGTCTAAATTGGCCCTGTATGTGAGATAGGGACCTTAGAATGTAAGCTCCTTAAGGGCAGGGAATGATGTGAATGTAAAGAGTTGTGTAAAAATTGTTGGGGCAATAGAAATACCTCTAATAAATAAATAAACAATTACAAGACACACTGCACGTGAAGATTCCCCACTCCCGCTGTAGCATTTAATCACCTTTCCTCACTCCTGCACATCTCTGCCATGAGGAGGTTCTGTCCAAAATGACTTTTCGGAGCTTATATTTGGCTATAGACTCCATTGACGTGGTCACATAGAAGAAGCGGAGTCAGTTATATGCTCACCCATAGCCTAAAGTTATGGGTATTTCACTTGTCTCCTGGCGGCCTGAAGGTGAGTAGAGCAAAGGTGAGTATATGCTCCTGGAGATTAAATGTCCTTCTTACTTTGCCTTTTATGGGCAAAGAACAGAGGATCACTTTAAAGAATTACTTTTATTATCATTAAATGCATACAGGTTTTAAATGAGAGGTGAATGGGGGGAGCCAGATCCAAAGGCTCAGCCTTTGTGGGTAGCCCAAGTTGGGCAGGTGCCTGCTGCTGAGACACTGTGTAGGTTCTACCATGCAGGGGTTGGGGTTAATCTGAATTAATCTGTTTCCTGGACGGTATGTCCAACAAAGCAGGTAGCAGACTCTGTCAAAATGCAGATATTTCTCCGTTCAAAATTGCAACCAGTAAATGTCCTGTCACAGACTTAAACTACCATTTTGCTAGATTCTTCATTCTCATTAGGTGCAGTAATACAGGCAAGGGCCGGGCAGGTGGCATTGCCACTTTGCTTTATAAAAGATACATTCTTGAAAGGGTTAAGGAAGATTTTTTTCTGCTAGCCTGCTACTGCAATCTAAAACCAGAGAGAGAGAATATTTTTCATCAAGGCCTTGCAATACCATGTACCACATTCCTAGCCCTACAGACTGCTGACTGAATTCAGGTGAGGACACGAGCAGCTAATATGGCTAAATCCAATTTATTTCTGAAACATGGGGAGTTCAGCTGGCAGCTGTCATAAGTATGTGTGACAGTAACTAAAAGCTGTACCTTGGCTTTTCTGTAGTTGGTAGTAATAGTGGGAGATTACTCAGTGCTACATTACAGGCCCGATATAACTCCTTAATGAGCACTAGAGTCAAGTATAAAAAAAAAAAATTTGTCTGAATAAAATATAAAATGACAAATTCATCTTATGCTCATCTAAAGACAACTAATGAAGTTTAACACAATAGCAAATGATCAAGACATTCAGTTGTCAAGATTTTACTTACCGCTAAAGCAATCTCTTGGGAAAGTAAGGACAAACAGACATGTTAGAAGGAAACCGAACTTCATCCTATAAAAGAAACAAAAGATTTTAAACACAGAATTAAACAACTGTCTAGCTGTATTTTTTTTTAGCCACGACTATTAGGTATTTTGCTTTTATAATATTGCTTTATTCCTGTGGTAATGCATTAGCATAAGTGTTGCATTACAATTTAAACTAGTACTCAACAAACCTGTAAAATCCAGCTGTAAAGCTTAGGGACTAGTTTATGACTCTTGTTGTAGCTCGACGGATGCCGTCCACACAACACTACTGCCAGTAGATGGTGATGAGAAGCTTTGGAATCTCGACACCATCCAGTGGCATTAGTGTCATGCTGTAGTGCAGCTGAGTTATAAATCAGCCCAGCTGCGTCACTAGGGGGGTTCGGCCCGCACCCAGGTGAAACCAAAATGACTGTCATTTTGGTGTCACCCCCTCTGAAAAGTCGGGCACTCTGTCATGGAACAAGAGCCTGACAGTTGCACGAGAGGAGGGGACCCGGCTGCATAACTTATCCCACCAAGTGAACGTCCCCTCCTCTCCCTGCCGGTGTTCCATTGCTTTCGACAGAAGACTTGCGTCCATCACCAAGATGATAGCCGGCAGGTAACAGTAAGTGACGTCATCACGTGCGTGTGCGATGTCGCTGCGTGTGTGCAATGGCGGGGGGTCACCCGGTGGCTGCTCTGGGTGACACCATGCCTCGGGATGCCCCTGAATCAGCCCCTTAGTGTTATTGATCTATGTGTTCATACTCAATATTGTCATATTGAAGAGAAAAATATTCTAACGTTGATCATAAAGCTGAACTCCAGCCAAACAGCTAAATGTACTGACATAGTCAATTTACCGGCTAAAGGATTTCCATGTTTGTCTATCCAGTCCTGAGATTAGGGGGTCATTCACACAGACGTGCACATCCGTGCAGAAACCTACACCTGGAAGGAGCAGCTGGTGAGTGTAGCCATATGCAGACTGCGTCCTAGGGCGGTTATTCATATCTGTATGGATGTGCAAGCTCAGGGCGGGGTGAAGCTGCATGCAGCCACATCCTATCACTGTGTTGAACAGGCGGCTGCTTGAGGCAACACGAACCAGCTGCCCCTCCCTGGCGCAGGTTTGTGCATGAATGAACAAGCAGTACATGCCTATGTGAGGCCTAACACACCCTGACAGATAGCCAAGTTGATGACCTGACCTTTCTCAACTGCAGTTTTGGAGGGACACTAGATCACCTCTCTTACCCCTAGCCTATGACCAGACAGCGAAGAAGCAGCAGCAGACTGATGAGTTTCTCCTCCTTTCAGCATATTCTTTGCCACCACCAAAGCCTTATTGGCTCCTAGTGTTGCTCCTGACTCTCCCAGTTTGAGCTCTGCTGTACAAGGTATTACAAGACAAATAGCATGACAAATTCAAGTACTCACACTAGCTGCATTTAAAATACACTCAATGATTTTAAATGTTTATATAACTGAACTATTGTTTTGGGGTTGATTTACTAAAGGAGTAGAGCATGAAGTGAAGCTAACTGAAAACTCATTTTGCAAAGCATACCCAATCACATGCAAGGATTTTTGCTTGCGTATGAAAGGATGACTGAAGTCAGCACTGCTTCACTGCATTTATAGGAGAGTTAGTTTACCTTTACAATAAACATTCTAGTGAATCCTAAGGATTCACTAGAATCCAAGAAGATTATAAATTAGTGCTGTTGAAAGAAACCTTTCATCATTCAAATCTCCTACGTGTAGGCCAGCTGCAAATTTCATAATACCAGCCATAAAAAGCTTCAGTCAGTGTAATCACCTCCATCCTGAAATGAATCCAGGATGGATGGAATGTTGAGGGATAAAAACCCAAATGATGTAATTCTGTCACATGTTCACATTTTGCCAGCCCCTATGTACCTATACCCTATGTAGGTATACTTTCGGGTGCATTGAATTGTGGGACATGTATTGAACTACAGTGTCAGATGATGTGTACAATGCTGGAAATACAGCTTAAGGGGCGCATCTCTTGAAAACAGGTCCAAAACACAGTATATCATAACGAAGGGGTGAGCACATTATTTACGTGAAAAGAGTTTGCACATGCTGATTGGCATCTATTAGAAGTGTAATTGCTGCAGACATTATTTTATAGTAAAGGTGAACCAAATCAATAAAGTAAAGCTGTATCCAAACATGTTCAAGCATTTACTATGCAAGGGGAAACTGTACTCTGCGGAATGAACATGTGCTTTTCTTACTCCTATAGTAAATGAACCCCAGTATATCAGTTTGGAGTTTGGCTTTAAGAGGACCAGGCTGTTTAATACAGCAATCTAAATTACTTTTTAGACAAAGCAATTTTTATAAAAAGTAATTTTTTCTATATTTAATTTTTGTGTTTACGTGTAAAAAAGTATTCTACCAAATATGTTAGTGCATTAAAAAAAATAGCAATTAATTTTACCAAAAGTGAACAACTGTTAAGCCCCTTTCAGACGCACAATCCAATCAGGTCCGCTTATCAGTTATTCAGGTGGATGTGATCGGAAGCCCAATGCTATTCTATGTGCAGCTGGATTCTAAAGCAGACGTGTGTCCAGTTACATCGGATTACCCCCTACTCCATCTAGGTGCAGAAATCAAAACGGAACAGTGTTTTGGTGCACCTGATCATGATGGATTGGGGGTAATCCTGTCTAAACGGACATGTCTGCTTACATCTGACTCCCCGTGGACCTAACATGGGGCTGTGGTAAGTTGGAGGAAAAAACTGGACAAACACATGTCACAGTGGTGACATCCGTTGTGTACTGCTCCGATCAGCCAGGCATCCCTGCACGTGCAAATACATATCACATCTTAAAGGAGAACTATGGGGTCAGGGCTTTTCCCCATAGTTCTCTTTAAGCTAACTATTGTGCACATGTAGCAAACTACAACTGTAGCATAATCACATTTCTGATCTTTTATAATGTACTTATACACAGAAATGTATTTAGTCTTCCAATAACATTATATGAACAATTAATTAAATTTTTTTTATAAAAACTTTCATTTATGTAAAAAATTGACATCACCTCTATACACAAACCATCCCTATAAGAACCTTTGTTCCAAAGTTCTAGAATGTATACCAGTTCATGCTCTGGCATTTAATACTAGAGATTTGACATATTTAAGATTCTAACACACAGCAGGCATTCATCATCCAATACCATCAACTTTAACAAGTTCAGGTGCCTCTGGATTTCTGATGGCCTTTGTGTTACATTTGTGTTATACCAGCATCAGGAGAAAGTTCAGATGGTCATGATGAAGAATTTATGATTGACCTTTCATTATTCTTAACTGTCAAAAAATTTGATCAACTGTTTTAATATAGGCAATGCCATTTTTAATTGTATGCCCTTTTTACCCTTTCATACTTGATTTGTGTCACTTTCAGACTACAATATTTTCATTATACTTACTCCACAGAATATACTTGACTTTAGAACCTGTGAACAAGGGACCTGGTAATTTGCTGCTGACATGCGACTCATTTCTGTAGGATCAGAAAGGCATTGTATGGATTGTATGGTGCAGTGTTTGTTGGTGTTTTTGTGTACACTGCTGGTAGTGTAGTGTAGACTCTCAGTCCACTCCCGTCATCTGTAAGATTCTGAGTATGGAGCCTGGTGCCAGGATAATTCAACTCCAGCATGCATATACAGGACTTACATCATCAGTGGCTGCAAAGAAAAGATGCCAGTCCAGAAGAGGAGGAGAGGGTGGGAAGGAGGGGAAGCACAGACCTGATAGTGCTGAAAAGGGCCAACTGTGCATATTTTCACAATATGGCATGATTGCTGCCACATTTCCCCTTCAGTTCCACTTTAAGATGTTCTCCTTTTTCTTACTTCATTATAAAGGTGAGTATTTTAACTGAAACAAATATGCACATACCAGGTCTAAGGACATCTAATATGCATATTTGTTTTCCAGACCAGTGACCCACATGATAATAAAAGAAGGGTATGGATAGTGGCCTCAAAGAATGTTCCCCTTAAAAACAAGTTAGCAATGGCAGCTTTCATATTACTGTCCTCAGAGGTTCTCTTTAACCCCTTCGTGACGGGAGACGTACAGTGTACGTCCTGTCACTTTGTGCCTATATGACTGGCCACGTACACTGTACGTGACGAGTTATATCAGGCTTTGTAATGCCGGTATTTGCTGATTCTCAGCATTTAACAGTCATTCATTAATGTCTCAGTATTGAGGCATTAATTAATGAAATAATTAAGCTTTTTGTAAAAGCTTCTTCCTTTCATTAATGAAAGAATGAAGCTAAAAAAAAAAAATAATAATCAAAACTTGTGAAAAAAGTGTTTTCTTCTAGTTTTTTTCCTCATTTTTTTTATTTTATTCAAACTAAGTGAGGGGTTAGGTACACATATGTGATATAATTATAGAGCCCTATCTGTCCTCTAAAAAAACTATATATAATATGTGTGGGTACATTTAGTAAGAAAGTATATTACTGCTGTGGAAGAATCACACAGCACAAATGTAAAAAATGTGTCAGTCATTTATGAACAGAACCTGAAAACTAGCTCAGTCATGAAGGGGTTAAGAGGGTTAACAGCAGGGAGGAAGCTGGACGCTTTTACTGTGAAGAGAAACAAGGTTGTAATAATGTCTTTAACAGGGGTTGGGGATCGCAAGACTTAAGGTGCCCATACACTGTGCGAATTTCAGCTGGTTTTTGAGAAATCATAGTGTGTGCCGCTTTCGGCACCCTTTCGGTTGGCATTCCCTCAATTTGCTGGTCGAAGGAGCTAGCTGGAAAATATTCGTACATTAGGAGCCGGCAGCCAATGAGCTGCCCACTCTCGTTGGGTATTTTGACAGCGGCCACTGTCAAATTACAATGCAAATGGCGGGATTCCTTGCTCTACACACTCCTAAGTGTTGATGGAGAAACCGGCTCCATTTTTCTCCTTCAGCCCACGGGTTGAAGCAGAAAAATAGATCAGTGTATATTGC